TAGCGCGGTGAAAGAGCGCAAGCGCGCCCAGAAGTCCACTACTGCCCGAGCGCGGGCGTATTCCAGGGGGGTTGCTGCTGCTGTTGCTGCTGCTGCTGCTGCTGCTGTTGCTGCTGCTGTTGCTGCTGCTGTTGCCGTCCCCGGTCCCGCGATGGGCCCCTGCGTTTGATCCTCGAGTACCGGCGCGTTCAGCGGCGGCCCCTCGTGCGGTCTCACTCCGTTGGCCAGGTGAAAGAAGTCCGTTATCCGCCGCTGTTGGGGCCCTTGCGCCTGGATCTGTTGCGCTTGCTCTGGCTGTTCTGTCGCGGGGTTAGCCGCCCTTTCCAGTCGCCTTCCGGCTGCTCGCAGACAACACCTGCCTACCTCCATGGCAGACAGGGCTGCCAGGGCGATCACATCCCAGGGGGCCTGCTCGCAGCCGGTCGGGGCTTGGACCAGCCACAGCTGCTTCCGGGTGATGCCGCCTGTCGCTGCCTCCTGGGAGGGCTGTATGTGTCGATCAATCTGCTCCCGGACAGCTTGTGCGACGGGGCACTCCCAGAAGTGGTGCATGCGTGGGGAGCAGTGCTGGTTGCTATGTATGTATGTATGTATGTATGTATGTATGTATGTATGTATGTATGTATGTATGTATGTATGTATGTATGTATGTATGTGAGTCCCCACGTCAATTCGTCAATGTGTTTTTCCCCGTCGTACTCGCCACAGGCCGAGGGCGGCTACTCCCCCCCACCCCCCACCAGCTCTGATTTCCCCCCCCACACCCATATCCTTCCCCTCCCACACCCATATCCACACAAGCCCACAGCCCCTCCCCTGAACTCCCCCTCAGATTCATAGCCCAGGTTTCCCTCACCACTCCCACCACCAGTACACCACTAGGACACCAGCAGCAGCTGCTTCGACCTCCCCGTCCTCTCCCGCCTATGCCTTGAAACCCCCTTAAAAACGCTCATACTGTACTGCTGCAGTACAACCCCGAGTGGGCGCCCTTCGTGGACGTGGGACTGCTAGACAACTACACCCTCCACCTGGCCAATCGTACTGCCGTACAGATTACGGGAAGAGGATTCGTACGGGTCTCGGAGCTGTGAGGTGTTACCGGTCGTGCGGGCGGTGAGGTGTTACCGGTCGTGCAGGTTGGCTGTGTGTATGTGTGTACCGTAGCGGAACTAAAGATTTTACAAAATAAATAATTATTTGCATGCGGTAAAATATTTTGGCAAAATTCAGAGTCTTACCGTAAAATCTTTAGTTCCCGGGAGGGAATTCGGAGCGATGCGGTAAAATATATATGGCCCTTCGCGCACAGCAAGCTTTTGGCACTAGATCTTATTCTATTTTACACATAATATTGTAACATAATAATATATTAACCTATTTCTGGCAGCAGCATGGGCAAGCACAAGCTCAGCAAACACCGCTTCATTGACAAGCTGCCGGCCATACCGGCGGCTTTTGCCAGCGAAGTGCAGTTCTCAGCACCTAAGGCAATTACGAACACGTTTTACTGACTTAGTGTCAATGCCTCCTCGTGACCGCTATTTGGTCAGTTTCGCTGCATAACCATTGCGGTTGCAGCCCTTGCGGTGGTTGTTATAGCTAAGGGCTTATTTTGTTGGGGAGTAGGGAGTAGGCATTTGAGAGATGACATATCTAAGTTCTTACAAGCTGGTTGGTGTCGCCGGGCGTGAAGTGGCTGTATTTAGATGGTTACGATGGCCCTTTCTTGGAGCGTCGTGAAATGCTCTCGCGTCCTTCATCAATCATAAGAATTCTGCGGCTGGTACAGAATGGTGGATGTTTGGAGGCCTTGTCACGGTGGCTTGGCTTTCAGATGGGGGTTCACAATTTGGAGTTTCTTAATTTGAGACGTGTTGTGATGATTCTCATTTCCCCTCATGCGTGAGAGGGAGGCGGGCAGTGGTGTTGCATGGTGGGGTAGCTTTGCGGGCCGGTAAAATCCCAGGAAATCATCCACAGTACCGTAAAATCTTGGCAAAATCCACCAGCATGCGGTAAAATACTTTGTTCCGTAAAATATATTAAAATCCATAATTTTGCGGTAAAATCTTTATTTTGTAAAATCTTTAGTTCCGCTACGGTATGTGTATGGCTACCGCTCTCCTCTCCTATTGCCCGCCTACCTACCTACCTACCTACCTACCTACCTACCTACCTACCTGCCTACCTGCCTACCTGCCTACCTACCTACCTACCTACCTACCTACCTACCTACCTACCTACCTACCTACCTCCTGCAGGTACCTGTTGGCCCTGGACGGCATCACGGCCTCCTACCGCCTGGGTCACCTGCTGTCGCTGAACAGTGTTGTGCTGAAACAGGTCCGTGTGCGTGTGTGTGTGTGTGTATTTGGGGGGGGGAGGGGGAGAGTTAACGGGGGGAAGGTGGAGGGGGAGATTGTGAGGAGCGTTGAGGTGCAAGGTGGGAGAGTGGTGGTGGTGGTGGAGGTGGTGTGTGTGTGGAGGGATGGGTGGGAAGGTGCGAGGGCGGGGGGGGTTCGGGAGGAGCAGGATGGGAGCCCCTCGGGGTGGCCTGACCCTTCCCATCCATGTACAGCAAGTAGTGAGGGGGGTAGGGGCTCCCATCAAGAACCACGCAAAAGAGAGTCCGATCTGCCGGGATCGAAATGGCGATCACGATTCAGTTCTCGCGACATAGCTACATAGGGCCCTTTAGCCGTCCGGCTGAGCAAAATCAGGGATCTTACAGTATTGTTATCATTCAAACCTAGAAGGGGGGAGGGAGCCATATAGGATAGTGAGCCTCCAATCGTCGCCATCTACGCTCTGATACGTACGGAGATATGTATCAGTTGTAAAACATACATACGTACATACATATTTCCCTTTTGTCATAATAGAGTGGGGGTCGTGTCTGCACGGCATCGATGCCGGCCTCATCACCAGAGGTTGGGGTGCGGGGGGGGGTCTGTCCCGCACACCAAGGTGAGGGCCATGAGGCGGTGTGGGGCCCAACAGGGATGGCCGTTACGGTTATGAACCAAACTGCTCCGAAACCGCCAACTCCTGTTGTACTGCTTACTGCTACTGCTGGTGCTATAGCTACAAAATATGCTTTCTTATTATTATACTGTTTACTGCGTTTTGGTATTGTATTGGTGCTGCTACTGCCGTGTTGTACGACCGGCCAGTCCTTGGATCGAGTGGTACTACAGATCGCTCGTACCGGGGACCCATTACGTAAGCATCTGGAACTACCATAGATCCGACGTACTGAATGTGATCAAGTCCCTGCGACACAAGGTGAGAACCGAGGGATTGATGCCTAACCGCTAACGGCTAACGGCTAACCGCTAAGGCCAAGGGCTCGTATATAATTTTGATAAGAGTTCCTTCTCAGCAGCTATGCATGCATGCACCCGTATCGAGTAGCCGTGCACGTGCAGCCATGCATGTGTATGTGTAAGTATTAATCCCCCCGAGGGGGTGGTTATGAAACCACCAACAATATAAAAACACACCCCATCACGCACCCCGTGTGCAGTATCACGGTGCAAGGAATAAACCCTGCTGGCCCCATATAAAACGTCCCTGCCGTACTTGCAGAGGCGGTACTTGTACGACATCGCTACACATGGACAGGTACGGACCGTAATACTCATTAGGGTGTCCGTTATGCGTGAAGATACGTTCTTTTTCGTTCTTCGGAGGATTGGGGGGGGTTTGGGGGGTAGGGGGGTTTGGGGGACTAGGGGGTTTGGGGTGTTTAGGGGGGGGAGGGAGGTTAGGGGGTTTGGGGGTTTAAGGGGGTGGGGGGTGAGCACCTCCTCAGTACCACACTGAGAGGACCCATCCCGCGCGTACGACATGCGGAAAACTGCCGTACGACCTCCGGCGGGTGATGCGTAAACTGCTGTACGACAGAAAAAGCAGGAGAACGTGTTTGTTTCACGAAACACGAAGATTATGTTTTTAGATGTAGCCGTGCAAGAACATCAAAATATGGCGTCGGCGCCAGTAATCCTAACCCCGGGAAAAAAAAGATTAAAATAGACCCCCACATAAGAAACCCCAGGTCACAATACCCTTGCTATACCCCGGTGTCGTACCCCGGTGTCGTACCTCCCATGTTGCTTTTCGTTTTCATCAAATCTTCATCTTAATAGTTGATCAGCCAATGCACTCCGTTCCGTATTGGAGTGTATTTGTATTTGTATATGTAGCTGCCCGGCGCGGGTAGCCTGCCGGGGCGGTCTAAGGGGTCGCGGCTGCTAACCCCGGGGGTGAGGTCCCTCACCGCCGCATCCATCACCCATCCATTCATTCATGCGCGTGTGTATGTATGCATGCATATGTACATGCATACTTACATACTTACATGCATACATACATGCATACTTACATACTTACATGCATACATACATGCATACTTACATACATACATGCATACTTACATACATACATACATACTTACATACTTATTTACTTACTTATTTACTTACTTACATACACTCTTGCTCAGGCGTTTGCGTACCGCTACTTGGCACCTCACGCCCGGCGGCTGTACTGGATGCGTGTCCTTCGGGAGTACCGGCAGCTGTTTGGGGACATGGAGGAGTTCGTGGCTGCCCAGGTGGGTGGCTGCCTGGCGGCTGGCACGGTTGATGTTGACGAGGGGGGTGTTACACAGTGTGGGCAAAGCTCGCCCTGAGGAGAAAGGACCGCGAGCACCGTCGGGGGCCCGGCCCGGACCGGACCGGGGGCCGAAACACAGCAGCAGTGCAGGGGCGGGCGCGCGGACGGGCTCCTCGGGGCTCCGTCCGTATGTTCTTCTGCACGCGGCTCACTCCCTCACGCACGCCGTTCTCCCAGCCCCTGGCTAGGCAACACAGCGGCGCGGAATACTGCAAACCGAAGTAAGCGAGAGCCGCGCGAGAGGCGCCACAGCACCTCAGGGGTCCCTAACCAAGCTGCCTCTCACCGCTCCGCCTGGCCAGCTTGTTCGCACGCTCTCACGACTCTAGAACGCCATATATAAAAACAAAAAAAAAACGCCACCGGGGGCAGGGGCTCCACACGGGTTGGGGGCTTGTTGCATGCTGTTAGTGGTGGTGGTGGTGAGGAGACCTGTTTCCTCTGGTTCAGCTGAAGGTAAGAGGCCTCGGGAGATTTCGAGACGACGTGGACATGGGCATGATGTACAACATGCAGGAAGTCACTCTAGCTGAGATCACTCCCTCCCAGCAACACCCTGGGCACGTTGCAACTCCCCCATTCCGCCACCCCACACCCCACCCCACCCCTCCACCCACCCTTGGCCCGCACTGCAATCCCCCTCTTCACATATCACGTATCAGGAGATTCCGGAAACCGAGCCCGAAGGCCCGGGAGGGCCCTCAGCCAAGTAATCGAACCAGTGTGGCAAGAATTGTAACCAATGGTAAACTGAAGAATACAGCCAATAGTTTCACGCCCGGAATGGTGCTGTGAATGCTAATGTACGTGTACGTGTATGTGTATGATGTGTGGGACAGGGGGGCATACCTTCACCCGTGGCCGCTACCCGGCGAAACCCTGCCTTCCCCGGTATTTCGGGGCATCTAGCCACCCTAGTCAACTTCTCAGTGGATCGCTCAGGTTCCACACCCACCACCAGCATCGAACGGAATCTGCCGGATCGACGGCGGCCCAACTCCGTTCCTGGTCGGCTCGCGAGTCAACTTTATCCCAGGTCGCCACCGTCCATCGACTAGGGGCACTTTACCTTCCACCATTGGAAGAATTTTCGACCCTGATGGGTTTCGATCCCGGGATGTATGTATGTATGTATGTATGTATGTATGTATGTATGTATGTATGTATGTATGTATGTATGTATGTATGTATGTATGTATGTATGTATGTATGTATGTATGTATGTATGTATGTATGTATGTATGTATGTATGTATGACGTTGATTACACTGTGGGCTGAAAAGCCGGGGGCCCAGGGCCGAAGCACAGCGCGGGGGGCGGGTGCATACGGCTGGTTAGTCTCATGCACTCCGCCCCCGGGTCAGGCCGCACGGGAAACGACGGCCGGCACGCAACAGCGCTTGTTTGGCGCTCCGACTAGACGGGATCTATGCCCGTTGGTCTCCTAACATAAACGAAGTCGCAACTGGGGGGCTCTTCCTGCCGACCGAACGAACCGAGCATCTCAGAGAGCTCGCTACCAGGACTTGGGCGACCGGGAGCCCGACGAGTCTTCCCGGGCTGGGGAGGTCACCAAGCTCAAAAATCCTCACGCAAAAAAGTATGTATGTATGTATGTATGTATGTATGTATGTATGTATGTATGTATGTATGAAAGTATGTATGTATGACGTTGATTACACTGTGGGCTGAAAAGCCGGGGGCCCAGGGCCGAAGCACAGCGCGGGGGGCGGGTGCATACGGCTGGTTAGTCTCATGCACTCCGCCCCCGGGTCAGGCCGCACGGGAAACGACGGCCGGCACGCAACAGCGCTTGTTTGGCGCTCCAACTAGACGGGATCTATGCCCGTTGGTCTCCTAACATAAACGAAGT